CACTTATTACATATTTGAGATAATGGAGAAGATATAAAGCTCACGTGGGTGATTTTGATGAAGTTTTGGTCTCTGAGAACGAAAACTTATTTACATAATCCTTATATTAAAATTATGGCGTGGATCAACAAAGCAAGAGCAACATATTTACAACTGAAGAACATCTCCAACTCAAAACAACTCTCAACCAATACCAAGGTCAGAATTTTCAATACAAATATCAAGACAGTTCTACCGTACGAGGCGGAAATCTGCAGAACTACGAAACCCATAATCCAGAAGATACACGTGTTTAGTAATAGCTGTCTACGCAAAATATTTCGGATTCCATGGTTAGACACTATCAGCAACAACCTACTATGGGAGAGAACAAACCAGATCCCAGTGGAGGAAGAATTCAGGAAGAAGAGCTGGAAATGGATAGGACACACATTGAGGAAAGCATCGAACTGCGTCACAAGCTAAGCCCTCACATGAAATCCTCAAGGCCAAAGGAGGAGAATAGGAAGACCGAAGAACACATTACATCGAGAAATGGAGACATACATGAGAAAAGAACTGAAAAAAATTGGATAGAACTGTAAAGGAAGGGCGAGGAGAGAGTGGGTTGGAGAATGCTAGTCGGTGGCCTATGCTCGATTGAGAGTAACAGGCGTAAGTAAGTAAGTAAGTAAGTATATTAAAATTATAAAATTAAACCTTTCTTCCAGTTATAAAATCTACAATATTTTACTAGAAAAAAACTATTCATAATAATCCAAATTATATGGTAGTGTGATCTTTGTTTCTTTATCATTATTTTGATATGTTTAAGGTAGACGTTTTGTGTTTTTTTAATAAGTTTCATCAAACCAACTAGTCAAATACATATTTATCTAGTCTAATTCTACGTGACTGTTATTTCATCATCTTTCATCTGAATTATTATTCCTGTTCCAAACAATTGAATTTATCTTATGATTATAGTGAATAGCTCCTAATCTAAAACTAAATAATACAACTAGGGCATATATTGTAGAAATCACCAAACTGCATCATGATGCACGCGCTAATCTGAAATCCTGAAGGGAAACGAAAAAGAGGAAGGTCAAAAGACACACTACATCGAGAATTGGAAACAAACATCAAAAGGATGAATAGCAGCTCGAAACCATTGGGGAAGATTATCCAGGATAGAGTTCGATGGAGTATCCTTTTAAGTATCCTATGCTCCTCCACGACGGGTAGTAACCGTAAGTAGGTAAGTAATATATCTATCTATTACTGAATGAAAATGCAACTCCATTATTAAACTTAAGTCGTAAGTAAGAAACACTATATGATTTGCATTAACTAGTTCAATAAAAGCATGAACTAAGCATTAAGTTTATCTTAATCTATGTAATGCTCCATGAATCAAGATATGTAGTATTTAATGAAGCCAGTTCCTATCAATTTTGTAATATTATTCTTATAAATTTAATTAATGTAAAACAGTTAGTTATGTCACTTAGACTAGATGTGACGTATTTACTTTTTTTACTTTATCTTTCATAAATTCAACTAAACTTGCCAGTAAACATTTTCCTAATTCATAACCCCAGAAATAAATAACATTCATATATAACAAATGTTCTTATAATTAAACTTACTACTCAAAAAATAAATGATAGAATATTCAGTAGTTTCTTTTTATGTTTTGTCAATATGTTAGTTAAATTATAATTTGTTTTTTTTCAGTCATAATGAGTTCGTTAAGACCATTGTCACATGGAACAACAGTATAGAAGATAATAAGAACTTAATAATAATAATATTGATTTAATTTTCACTAAAACATCTGATGTAATCAGTATATTTCGGAACATCTTTATTACTATTATTACTATTACTGCTACTACCACTACTACTATTACTACTATTACTATTATTATTATTATTATTATTATTATTATTATTATTATTATTATTATTATTATTATTATGAACGTAATCAAAATCAGCTGATGTACTGATTTTTTTAAACAAACAAATCTATGCTTAAAAGTATTATTTATATACGTCTATTTCTTAGAAGAAACCTTCTTATTTGTATAAAGTGAAAAATTTTTTAAAAAAATTTCACAGAAAAATAAGCAAACAAAAAATGCCTTTTTTCTCTTGATCTCAAGATGTTATCTCATAATCTGATATGATTTCCCGTTCATCATTTTGTGAAGATATATAGTCCATTTAGTCAATTGTCTTTACTGTTTGTTGCTCTCCATGAATATTTTTGATAAGAAGAAAATGATTTTATATGTTATCTTATAGTTTCAAACTGTACTGCACTTACTTAGAAAGGAATTAAACAAACATGTATTATATCTGAGCGAAGATAAAAATCACTAGTAACCACTGAGACATATTAATTGACTAATATTATATATATATATATATTCTTATAATGTAACTATTCAATAATTAGATTATGTATATTTATATTCCTCTTATTATAAGCTTCATTTTGACCTATAATTTATTATTGTACGATTTACTGTTCTTAAACTATGTTCAGTTTATTAACTACTGCCTCCCACGTTCACAGCCACGTTTTGGCTTTATTGTGTACAAATGTTATTTCCTATTTTATGGTGCGTTGCGGTCTGTTTGATTGATATATAAACCCAGTATGCCTGAAATAAATGATTCTATTCTATTGGCATATTAGAAGCTGGTATTTGGTGTTCTGAACTCAAATGGACGGGCTAGGCGGACATAGAACCAATAAGGACGCTAGACTACTCATACCGGTCGAAAGTCATTGGTTTTGGCACAGTGCAAAGATTGTATAAGTCGTATTTTGATTGGTGGATAAATCATGCCATAAAAAGCCGGACATAAAGTCATAACAACATGTAAATGGTTTTTCGCATCTCTATTATAGTTTAAATTATTATACTGGTCATCAGGCTAATAACCTTTTTTATAGAATAAAATAATTGTGTAACTTGAAAAAAAGAGCGTTTCTTATACTGTTGACTTTAAATTCAAAATCAAACATAATTTTAAGTTAAGGATCATATAACAATTAGATACATAAATAAATGTAACCCTGAAGCTATCTCTGAAGAAAAACAACTAACAAGTAAATTGTGAGCGATAATGAGACAAAATTCACAAGAAGGAAATCTAACAAATATTTATGAGTTTAGGGCTCGTGGAGATTGTTAAGTTTTTGATTGAGATCATGAACTGATTGATGTGAGACCACCATTAAGAACCTGGAAGCACTGGACGGCCGTTTCGTTCTATTGTGGGACTCCTCAGCAGTGCGCATCCACACAACGGCCGTCCAGTGCTTCCAGGTTCTCAATGGTAGTCTAATATCAATCGGTTCATGATCTCAATCAAAAAATATATATATTTACGAAATGGACAAATACACTGTTATTGAATAATTTTGCCAAACAAGCAAATATGAAACTCATTTTGTAGAAAATGAAGCTTTTATGTCTCTGTGCTATTGGTCATCTTAACCTAACTTCTAATCATATCCGTTTTAAGTTAAATATCATAACGATTAGTTAAAACACTCTGTAGAAGTTTTATGCCTCATATTTGTGTAAACCAGTAATCGTTGGTAAAATGTGTGTGCGTAGACAAAATAAGATTCTCTAAAAATTTGGTGTAGCATCACTCAAAACGAAAAATAAAGGAGCAACTGATGAATTATTTGGGATATGTCAATCAATAGTTAGCAGACAATAATTGAATTCATTCTTTTTAACTTTACTGCTGACCGGATTATATTGATTGGCTTTGCAGTATATTTACTCATCTAATTGGCTTAAAAATTAGAAGAGCTATAAATGTTCGTCTGTTAGGAGCAATAGTTATTAGATACTGGAACCATGAGTATTTTTCGCTTACTCGAAACATATTACAACGCAATCTGAATATGATGTTTAATATTTGACTCATTTTATAACATTTCAAGGCTTGTTTACCAATTTTAACAAAATTGCGATTAAAAATCCTTTAATTAACTGCTCCCTCAGTATTATGTAGATGATTTACAATAAAACAAAAACCTTATAGTTTTTATTGTGTTAAAGAACATATTCTTTGGTTGCTTAGGTGACCGAAGGTACTCAGCGAAAAACCCTGACCCTAGGTTCGTCACTGTTTAGGACTCGTCAGTAAGGTATACCTATATTCTTGGAAGAATTGATGCAAAAACCTAATATCATGACATATTAAATGTGGTGTTGAGTCATTTAGACTAGTGGCTATACTGTAGCATGATTGACAGAGTTCTATCAGAAATAACGAACTAAACAAACCTGACACTGGTAATTACTCATCGATCAATCAACTGTAAAGTGCATGCTTTGTAAAAACTATTATCATCTTTGTAAAGGCTAATAGAAAGAATCAGTTAAATACATTGTTTTCACTCAGAATTTCTGTCACGAATATATATATAAAATATAGTTGACATAGAATAAGCTCGATTTAGAGTCTTACTGGATTCAAAAAATTCCTGGTCACTTATTGCCTGAGCTATATATAACTTATTGAATTACTTACGCTTGTTACCCCTCGTGGAGGAGCATAGGACACGCAAAAGGATTCTCCATCGAACTCTATCCTGGATAACCTTTCCCAGTTTTTTCGAGTTGCTATTCATTCCTTTGATGTCTGCTTCCATTTCTCGGCGTAGTGTATCTTTTGACCTTCCTCTTTTCCGTTTCCCTTCAGGATTCTAAGTTAGTGTTAGGTGGTCTATGTGGTCTTAAATTTTATTTTATTCTCTTATTGTTGAGATGAAATTGTCCCACGAGTTACAGATTCAGGGTTATTTATGTTTTATAGTACTAAATTTAGTCACCTGGATTTACAGCACAATACTACTAACCAACCAGGCTGTCTGATGTGACGACTGGTTTACGTATGTATTACAATAAGCTCGAAAGTTAAGTTACTAAATAAATTTAAATGGCGGAAATATTCGAAAGTAAACAACTATACACACTTACTTGCACCTGAAAAGGTTCCATGCCATAGGTTTCAATTTTTGACGCTTCATCGATGAATTTTTCCAGAGCTTCAGATTTAGACATGCCACTTTACAATTAGTAAACAAAAAATTTGAACTTTCATCACAATCAAATAATTTTACTTGTAACATCAAAGTATGTGTAATACAATGCGGATATCAACAGGGAGCAAATAAAACAGAAATAAGACCGTGATGTTTAAATGTCGAATGTTCAAATAAATAGAAAACTGTCATGTAATGGTATAATTATTCATCTGCATTTTTGGATCTCGATGTTTTAAGTAACCGAACTCCATAATATTTAAAATTGAGCCTAACAAGAAATTTTTATCTTTATTTTATTCTATGTTACGCTTAAAAACATAAATCCCTGGCAGTTTTATAACCTAATTGACACTGTTTAGAATAGCATTCCTTTCACTTTTCTTCTGTCTTCTCATTTGAGACTTGGAGGGTTCTAGAATTCCAGTGTTCAAGTTATACGCGGTATATTAAGAATCTAAGCTCTAGATATAACACTGGTTAATTTCAATTCTTGAATGACTTTTAAAAGTATCGAACGTAATTTAACTAATTATTATATATCAATAAATACAGTTAATCCAATTCTCTATCTTTTAGTAATAACTCTGTTTACGTACTTGGAATTAGGCTACAAAAATCAGTCGGTCTATCTATTTAACACTTTAGACTAATCAAGATGTAGTTTTTTTATTGTACCAAGCTGACAATGTTCATCGCTCTACATCAACTTTATTAACTACAAAAAAGCATTTAATAGCGTGGACAGAACAACACTATGGGGTGCCTGAGAAGATAGTCAATATCATACAGAATTCCTATGCTCGATTAAACTGAAAAACCGTACATGGAGGACAGTTGACAGACTCGTTCGAAGTAAAGACCGGTGTCAGGCAAGGTTGCTTACTCTCACCCTTTCTCCTTCTCCTGGTGATCGACTGGATCATGAAGACGTCACCATCTGATGGAAAGCATAGAATACAGTGGACAGCTAGAATGCAGCTGGACGATCTAAACTTCACAGATGATCCGGCTCTTCTATCACAAACGCAACAACAAATCCAGGAGCAGACGACCAGTGTAGCGGCAGCCTTGGCAGCAGTAAGTCTCAATATACACAAACGGGAAAGCAAGATTCTTCGATACAACACAGCATGCACCAATCTAATCAAAATTGACGGAGACGATTTGGAAGATGTAAAAACCTTTACATATTTGGGCAGCATCATTGATGAACTGGGTGGGTCTGATGCAGATGTAAAAGCGCGGATCGGCAAAGCAAGAGCAACATATTTACAACTGAAGAACATCTCCAACTCAAAACAACTCTCAACCAATACCAAGGTCAGAATTTTCAATACAAATATCAAGACAGTTCTACCGTACGAGGCGGAAATCTTCAGAACTACGAAACCCATAATCCAGAAGATACACGTGTTTAGTAATAGCTGTCTACGCAAAATATTTCGAATTCTATGGTTAGACACTATCAACAACAACCTACTATGGGAGAGAACAAACCAGATCACATTGGAGGAAGAATTCAGGAAGAAGAGCTGGAAATGGATAGGACACACATTGAGGAAAGCATCGAACTGCGTCACAAGCTAAGCCCTCACATGAAATCCTCAAGGCCAAAGGAGGAGAATAGGAAGACCGAAGAACACATTACATCGAGAAATGGAGACATACATGAGAAAAGAACTGAAAAAAATTGGATAGAACTGTAAAGGAAGGGCGAGGAGAGAGTGGGTTGGAGAATGCTAGTCGGTGGCCTATGCTCGATTGAGAGTAACAGGCGTAAGTAAGTAAGTAAGCTGACAATATTATCAATTTATTGATTATCTAAACCATGAGTAATCTAGTCAAAACTTTATTAACCAACGATTAATCAATATTATTACAAAGACATTCAACATTCTGTCATCCCTTGATCTATTCTTTTTTATTAAATTATTTTATATAGACTTATTCTATCAAACGTCTTTTCGAAACACCCTTCATTAAATGTGAATCATTATTGTGTTATATTATTCTATCATTTTCAAGTATTATTATTATGTAACATTCCTGAAATTGCTGTTATGTATGTGAGTGTAAAACATGGCAAATAGAAATTTAGCATATTATGTAGATATATATACAAGTATGTATTAAATGTTCACAAGACAAGCCCTCGCATGGAATACTCAAGGCCAAAGTAAAAGAGGAAGATCAAAGAACACATTATGCCGGGAAATGGAGATAGACATGAGAAAAATGAACAAGAATTGGATTGAATTAGAAAAGAAGGCCCAGGACAGAGTGGGCTGGAGAATGCTGGTCGGCGACCTATGCTCCATTGGGAATAACAGGCGTAAGTAAGTATGTATTAAATATAGTAAATAGTTGGGGAGAGAACTACATTATTCCTTATTATCATCATATTTGAAATAAGATATTTTCTATTCTAAGAAAAAAATTAAAAAATCACAGTGAAATAAAACAAAAATCATAGTTCAATAAATAAATATTTGTGATTTGATGTAAAGAATGTTTGGATTTTTTAATGAACAGTCTAAAAGAAATTGGGCACTCAACAAACTGGTCTGAGTTTCTTTAGAATTAAATTAAATTTCATTGGTTTATTCAATAGATTATTTCGAATGTAGTTTTTACATTCAATATTCATTATTATTATTATTACTATTATTATTATTATTACTATTATTATTATTATTATTGTTATTATTATTATTATTATGGTCTATAGTTCAGAAGTAATGTAATCGAAGCAAACATTCCGTTGATAACGATTTTTACTTTGTTTCATGTTTCAGTTATCAATATTGGCTTTAGATTATTAATAAATAAGGAAAATATAATAGTAGGATAAAAATAATATTGTTAAAACAGATGTTAAGAATGCATAGTATTTGAACATTGCAAGAGATTTTAGTGTTTCATGGAATTAGTTCCCTTTATAAATTTAAATAAAGCCAGAACAAATATTGATGCAGAATAATATGAATTCATTATATTTCATAGTTTCTCGTCAGCTGCTTACAACCAAATATGTATTGGAATTGTTTGGCTTGTATCTTCCCATTGAGGTTTAAGACTGCAATTGATCAGTCTGTTATTGGCATATTTGCCTACTATGCGTATGCCTCGATATTGCCTTAAGTTTACAAGATTTTATAAGAGAAGATGGATAGTGGCTAGCAGTGGAATTCAGGACGCATGTTTCGTCCTATTTGGGACTCGCCATCTGGATGTATCTGCATCTCAGAGTTGATGTTCACTCTGGGACTCGAACCCAGTAACATTCGCTTCAGGACTTAGTATATATATATATGCAAGAACATGTCAGAGGTTATTTAGTGTTTAGAATCAAGGAAACATTAAGGATGGGTGGTGTAATAGTTGAGTGGAGTTCTGAGACAGATAAGATAAATTGTGTGATAATTTTAGAGGTAATGAAGGATTCATGGAATTAATAAATTTATAAGATGAGTTACGTAATAATTGAATAGAATTAGAAGAGTTCACATAATTTAAGAGGGTCAAGTGAGCGGAAATATATGAATGAAAGGGTGGTTTAAGAATTCGGTAATGGGAGAGGAATATAACACAAACTAAATATTTTTAAAAATAAATAAATAAAATAACACTAATAACCAAAAACAAAAAAATTGAATTACGAGGGTAGTAACAAGTTTATTACTGTCTGTTTTTGAATACATAAATGCGATTCAAGCTTTTTTTATCGCGATCGCTTTAGTAAAACGGAGAGCAGCCGTACTTCTTTGTCTGCTAATAATTTTAAAAACATGAGGAATGTCGATGGTATGCCCGGTGTCAAGTAAATATCGAGCAATTACACTGTTGAGAGTCCTAGTCCCTCGCAGCCTCAATTTCACATTATTCTGCACTAGTATTTGTTCTGGCTTTATTTAGATTTTAGTGTGTTTATTATCATTCAAATCAAAACAAATGTATACAAGAATCGTTGTATGTCCCATAAACTAAACTGTGATAGATAACTATTATGTATTTATTTAAGAATTAGAATAATGAATTAATATTTATGAACAAATATGTTGGTACTCTGATCAATGTCCTATCTTAAGGTGGATGTTGACTATCTATGTAAAACAAGTGGGTAATTTGACAGTAAACCAATCTTTTAATCTATTCATATATATTATTCTGTATAACACTCTGAGGAATCTTATACTGTTTTAAGTTTTACACTTTAGGATTTAATGTAGTTAAGCTACTTAACAGTTACTCAATGGTTGATACATTAAAACAGCACTCCATTCACATGGGTTTAAACGGTTTGTTTACAAAAGACTATGGATTGAATCCAAGTATATGAATCCGTAATGCTAAATGGGTTTGAAGTAAGTAAATATTCATTAATAGTCTAACTGAAATGAGAATCAACCACCTAGTGTTAACCACAGTCTTTTTTCACTGCTTAGTAATTAATTAATTTTATCAATTAAATTTCAGTGTGGTCAACACTCTGAGTGGATCAGTATCAAAATACAAACTACTTCTCATTAACTGATTGGAGGTATTCGGTGGAATATTCTAAAACCAGGTTTTATACAAGTCAGTGCTTGCCACCAAAACGTGCCTCGAAAAACCGCAGGCCATATTATTCACCCTCAATGATATTGCCCCCAACTATAGGATTGGGTGGTACGCAGATCAGCTCTCTGATTTCGGGAAATATGCCCTGCTGAAAAGTTCCAATAAATACTTAAACTGAGCCTAAGGCTTAATGTAGGTTATCGTTAACCATCTAATATAATATTTTACGTGTCAACCGAAAAATCTAAAGTCCTATTCCAATTCGTGCTATTAAAATCGTTATTCCTATTGTGATAAAAACTCTGAAAACATTGGAAATATATTAAGCTACAAATCTATAATAGCCTTTTCATATTGAACTTTACTATCACACTACATTGAAATAAAATTTTAGAAACAAACCGTTCGCCTTAAAGCTTACATGATTTGTTCAAGTTGATTTTTGATTCGCCGTACAATAGGTTTTGTTAGTTGAGGAAGGACACGCATACCACCAGGAATAGTATCCACGTCAAAACCTTGAGGAATCTCCTTGAGACCATGTTCAGCTATATTGAATAAGTTTTTTTTTAAATTAAGAAAACAAAAGACCTGTCAGACAAACAATAGCAACAATCATTGTATTTAATTGTTTTTTAAATCTTATTCGTATCCACCTACAAGAATATCTTTAATAGTAAAGTAATTGTATATTAAAAATGTGGTGAAAATGAAACACACAACTGAATAGAATCGAATCGGTAAGGTTGAATTATATTATACTGATGAGCCTACCAAAGTCAAAATAGTTATAATTTTTTAAGGTGAAATCCAAAACGCTAAACTAAATGGAATACTCCTTATGAAGTGTTTTTTTTAGAAATTATCTTAGTTGCTAGACCATTTAAGACTGATAAGGGAAAGCATATTGTATCGTAATAAAAGGAGAGTTATTCGATTAGCATACCCATCTGATAAATATTATATTCAATGCATTACATAGTGATAATGAGCTCTTTCTCCTTTGTTCAAAGTGAACATCTAAATTAATCTATGTCATTATTAATGCACTGAATAATAAACAACTTTGTCTAAGTATTGCTTAACAAAATAAGTTTTATTTATATAATTTTAAGATTATGATCTCATATCATCATTTTATCGATGCTCTGAAAGTTTTCCCGTAAATCTTGTATTAACTATAGGAAATTGCTTACAGAAGTAGCTATAGTTTGATAAAGGATCAAAAACTAAACTGAGTTTTTATTGATCGAATGTTTCTTGATACTAAAAATAGTCTGCTTTACAATGAAAAGATCGGTTACAAACCTCTCAGAGCAAGTAAAATCTCCACATACAATTGGCTTTCATTAGTGTTTTCGCAGTAGATTGTTAAGTTTGACAATCTTTATAATCAGTAAACAATGACTAACAAAAGGTTTTTATGACTATTTTTAGTTTCATTCAAGTTGACCAGTATAATATAGTGTTTCCTCCTAGAATAAAAAAGGTCATCATATCTTTTCGACGAACACACATGTTGAAATCTTTTAATGATATCGGATTGTCTTTTTTCAATAGTGACTACTAACTGTAAGTTAATTCATCTTTTATATTTACTTCGGGCAATATGATGATGTATCATCTTTAGATATTTGAAACTATTCGGTAGATAATTGTAAATGGTCTTTTACTTCACAATGTTTGCGTGGGTTGCTTTTCAATGTCTATACAGCTTTATAACAGTTTACAAACCTCGATACTACAAAGCAAGATAATATTCAATCACCGAAATTCCAATACTATATATGGTAGTTAATAAAAACCTCTTTATATATACATGGGCGTGAATTAAAAATCATTGTGACGACAAAAACACATACATGAATATCTGACATTGTGAAGAAAATAGAAAATAGTTGATATTTCAGAATAATTATTTATAAAAACAAACAATAACTTGACAACTATCATTAGCTTAATGTATATATATTCACATCTTTAATCTGCAAACTGAATGACGAATACTATGATCACTAGTTATATCTCCTAGAAAATTTATTATATTTTCGGTTAAAAAGTACTAATGAATGTTATTTAATTCGTTCTTAAGATTATTCCGTATAAATGAGGAGAATTAAACTTAAATTAGCCATCAACCGGATATTTTATGCAGACCAACTTGTCATTATTGAAAAGACAAGGCCTAGGTTTCACCAAAAGCTCAAACAGCACGTCAGCAATTGTGTCTCATCCAATTGTATCAGAAGAGGTTTTGTGAAGATTTTAGAAATTTCACTGATTGAAATCACTAGTCAATTGAAGCTAGATCACCATGGAAAACTCGGAAGCATTGGACGGCCGTTTCGTCCTATTGTGGGATTCCTTGGCAGTGCGCATCCACGATCCTACCTTGCGAGATTCGAACCTAGGATCGATCAGACTCGCTCACGAGCGTTTAACCACTAGACTACCGAACCGGCATCCAACGGCGTTAGTGTCTATCTTCTACCAATCACACTGTGTCTATAAAATCACATGTATGTGCGGAAACACGTTCATAGGGAGGAGCGATCGTGATTTCCAATTAAGGGTGGGTAAACACATACCAAAATGGCTGCAGGAACGAATTAATTCCAATGGTCAAATAAAATCACAGGATAGACAGACACCATCCTCCATTGCGAAACATTTGACTGAGACTGGTCATAAGGTTGACATCAAGTCAGCATTTGTAGTGTTATACAAAAGCCTTCAAGGACGAATACTAAGGTTTATTGAAGCCTTGGCTGTACGGAAACTTAGACCCCTTTTATGCCTTCAAAAATAATTTGTCATTACACCTACCCTACCCTGGTAATGCTGATTTATTATCCAGAGTGGTAATCACATTGTTTTTGTGTACTTTATTATTATTATTTTTCTTTGTTACGGCTTACCTTTAATCTGTCTAGTTTACATTTTAGTTTTCATATAAAAATGTCTTAACAAGTATATATGTGATCAGATTGTTCGAAATGTATTACGTAAATATATCACATAATTCTTATAAACTTCGCCTTTTCACTGCATTATCGAAATTGATCAAAGGGACTAATTGTTTTGAATAAGACTGTGTCATAATTAATAGAAAGATTAAACAATCATAGCTAGCAATTATCAGATAAAAAATTCATATACCTTAGTTACTATCATCTTTATTCATAACATAATACAGTCAGTCATTACATAATACACAGTATATCTTGTATCACTTTTGTAAAATATTATTTTTCTTTTTAATGTATCAATGTATTAATATTAAAATTAATTACCTTGTATAGCGTATGCTGCTAATTCATAAATCTTCATTGCTTGTGCTCTTAAACGACCAACATAAAAATCCCTTCTCAACTGAAGGAAAAGTAAATAACTAAGAGTTGAAATAAAGAAAAATAAGTATAAGATAAGTAATCAAGTAATATACAATGTCGTCTATGTAAAACATAAATATTTATATTCTAATTAACATTGAGAATAAACAATATTATACAGTGTGAATCCTATACAAGAATTCAAGAATACAAAATGTAACATGAATGTTGAACAAAATATCAGATAGATTCATTAATAAACAAAAACGATAATCAATGAGGTTCACAGTATGAATCTCACGTACTCCAGTCATTTATTTATTTATTTTAAGCCAGATTGATAATGAATAAGCATCATACTATCTTACAAATTGAATAAAATTGAAAATATGAACGACTGGATGATATCTAAATAAACTAAATGGAGTAAGTATCTTTAGAGCATAGTAGAGAAGATTTGTAGCACAGGTGGATGATTTTGATGGATTTTTGTTCACTGAGCTGAATGTTTATCTATTTAAAGTTTGTGCTAATGATGTCATTCATAATTATCATGAAAGCTTCACGACCAAACCATCCAGCTCAGAGAGCAAAACTCGATCAAAATCTTGAGAGCATAACATGAATATTCTGAATTTAAACCTTGCAACGATTGAAAATATTCACTACTAAAATGAATTACATAATTTGTATTTCCTTGGTTTCTAATTGTTGCCTCAGTTTAGTTGATTTAATTTATGGTTTAAAACTGATATCAAATAATTAATCAAACAAAACAGTATTAATAGTAATATCAATTACAGACTATTATGTACATACCGATCATTAAACCAATGATTATTTATAATTATGTTTATTAAATAATTTTATACATATACATTTATCAGAAGGGGTTTTGTGGAGATTTTAGAAATTTCAGTGATTGAAATCATGAGTCAGTTGAAGCTAGACTACCATGGAAAACCTGGAAGCACTGGACAGCCGTTTCGTCCTAGTATAGGACTCCTCAGCGGTGCGCATTCACGATCCCTCACCCCGCGAGATTCGAACCCAGGACCTATACATTTCTTTACATACCCATAATTGATAAAATGTGTTTTATTTTAATCAAAAAAGGCAGAAAAAATAAAGAACAAAAAAGGAAAAAAGAGTAGTGAATAAGATAAATATGAATTTTCATAAATTAAAAACTTAGAAAGTATTTAATTGTGGATTCTTGCTGGAATACTTCAGTCTTCAGTCTATATATATATAACAGTTTAATAAGAGTATATTTTAATTATCTACAATTACTTCCTCTTCCTTTTATCATCAAAACATTTACTTTTAAGTCTAAGTGAGGATAGCACTATTAGACGGTCAGTGTATAGGAAACCAACCTGGACTGGACAACACTTAATTTTACATAGTTTCTGTCCATTGCAATACAAGCGAGGCTTGGTTAAGTGTTTCTTTAAGAGGACCCAAAGAATTTGTACTTCTGATAAGGTGGAAAAAAATGAAAAGTTAGTGACCGACACATTAATAGCAAATGGTTATCCATTAAAGTTTATTATTAGGTGCAAAAGTCAGTTAATGCCACGACCTCTTGTTTATTCAGTTCCAAAGAAAAAAGTTTATATTTATCTACCATATAGAGGTGAATACAACAGTATAGATTTAAGACAGAGATTGAAAGCAGCTATCGAGAAAACCTATTATGCTGCTCAATTGGTTGTGATTAAAAAGTCTAAGCCCATGATTCCAAATAGACTTAGACAATGCACAACTGATTGCGTCACATCCCACTTTATTTACCAGTTTACATGTTTGTGTGGACACATATGCATTGGGAGGAGTAATCGAACGACGCAACCAAGGGTCATTCAACATGCCCCTAGATGATTTCAAAATCCAAGTGTGTCAAATGATCCGATCAACGTGGGAGGCAGAAAACTAGGTTCATCGATAGCGAAACATATAATTGAAACGGGGCACATAATTGACATTAATACAGCCTTTAGAACGTTGTATAGAAATTACCAAGGACGAATTCTCAAGTTTATTGAGGACTTAGCTATTCGTAAATTTAAACCCGCCTTAGGTGTACAAAAACAATTTGTCGTAACCTTGAATTTACCTTGATAATCCTTAAGTCATTCTATGGCCTAGGATAACGCGACAATTCCTTATTTTTTATATACGATGTAAAATTGTTTCTTTCCCCTTTATTACTTTTTTGCTTGAACTTTCATTTGATTGACCTTTATTATCTTCATATAAAATGCCCTGATAGGTATATGTGTGACCAGATTGTTCGAGATTTATGGCGCAAATACATCACATTTTTCAGATCAACTACGTCTTCTCATTGTTCTATCGAAATTTATAAAAGGGACTAATTGCTTTTAATAATAAACTATTGAGAGTAAAAAGTGAAAGTAAGTAAGCATAAGATTAACACACACACACACATTTTGAATAGTGAAGTCGATTAGATATGAATATTTCATTGTAGTGAAATTCAGATAAATGTAATAAGATACAAAAAAAATACGTAAAACGTTTTGTAGTTTAATATAATTTGCAAGGTAAGATTCTGGAGCATGAAATGTTGAAGTTTAAAAAAAAATATTTGATAATGCAATGAAGTAGTTAAATACAAGTTACTTGTGGTTAAACATAACATGAAGTAAAATCAATCATATGAAAGATAAAACCATGTAGTTTTAATAGTTGAGACCACTAGTCAATTGAAGCTAAACAACCATGGAAAACTTGGAAGCAGTGGACGGTTGGTTCGTCCTATTGTGGGACTCCACAGCAGTGCCAATCCACTATCCCGCCTCGTGGGATTCGAACGCACGACCGATCGATCCTTAACCACTAGACCACTGAGCCCAGATCCAAAGTAGTAAATGTCTAACTTCAAGTAATCGACGAAACTGAATGACATATCCAAAATTGTCTTCAGTGAGTTACTATGTCACAACCTACCCGGTTGAACTCCACTGGTTACTGCTTCTCACTAGAACTCTACTACTGAGGCGCCCCATAATAGGACGAAACGGTCATTCAGTGCTTACAGGTTTTCCATGGTGGTCTAGCTTCAATTGATTCATGATCCCAACTACTAAAACTACTATAATATCCACAAAACCCCTTCCGATAAAATTATGTATTCAGAAAAATTGAAAATGAAACAATCAGATAGAAAGAAAAAGTTCTAGTGAGAGATGTAATGAAGTAAGAGAGATATCATTATGGCAATGAAATATTTATCATTGTTTCTTTATAAATACACGAATCCGATATAACATGTCTGACTTTTAAGCCTTCAGTAAATTTAAGAAGAGTAAAGTTCGATTGTCGATTAATCATCATGAAATATTTTATTAGACCAATTCGATATGCTGTATCAAAGAGATCTCATGGAGTAGAGTAACTGGAAGCCTATAATTCTTATGACAGTTACATGCGAGTTTATAAACGCATTTTACGGAAACATATTAAGAGTTTCTATCGATCTTTGACTGTAGTAAGAGGCATGTTATTTTATATATAAGATAGTTGGTTTGATTGCAGATTACGTTCTGGTCAGTGTCGTTCTCGAGTCTTTTTTTCATCATCCCTGCAACGTAATCGCATTTAAATTCAGGTTGAATGAAAATAGTGTTTGATTTTGCATATTTTTTTAGTCTTAATATCTACACATTTTCTGTATTTCTTGACAGATTTCCGTAGGTTTCATTTGTTCCCTGAATATTTTTCAACACTCACTAGTTTTGCATCCAGTGTATCGGCAATACAAATCCTTCCTGTTCTCTGAAATGATGTTTTGACAAGTGCTTTTTTTAACCGACAAAATCTGTTAAAATTGAGATATAACCAACATCGTGTGTCTTTTCAATAGACTGAACGTTAAATTGTCCCATCCTCACTACGTTGTATTACAACATCAAGAAAGTGTAACTTATCATTCATTCTATGTATCATAGCGAATTGGATATTTCTAAGAGCGTTGTTAAGCTTTAGCAGGTGTTTTGCGGGTTTTTGATCATTACATACCATAAAATTGTCGTCAACATACCTCGCATAATACACCACATCACAAGTCGCTCCTTTGAGTTTAGTTTTTTGAAGATTAACCATGAAAACATCTACTAAAACAGAACCTAGTGGACCTCCATTTACTATACCGCCAGTTTGATCGTCTTTTCATCGAATTTATTGAAAACACTGAATTTCGTTATTAAGATGATATGACATATACAATTTAGTGCTACTAAGGTGTTTATTCACTATTTCTGACAACATTTATGATAAACGGATATATATGATTGACCTTACAAATACTATTGCTTGTCCATATTCGTAAAACGTTTTCGTTAAAGAAAAACAAAATATCGTTTAGCTACAGTGCAATCAATGATTGATGATCTTACATAATTTGCAAAATGGTACCATTCAACGGAACTATGTATTTTAAACACTATTTAGATCTAAGCTGGGATCTTTTTTAATTAATTAATCAATTTTTGAAGAATAAAATAACTATGATTATTCTGTTCATCCTGCTAAGAAAGTGAATACGAATAAATAAATAAATGAAACTAAAGTATCCAAAGGTTCGTCTATATTCTATTAAATTTCATAATCTTTTCTACTATCATCTATGTGGTTGCTACTCATATTATGACCTCTCTAAGTTGTTTATGAGTAACTGATTGATTTATCAATAAAAAGAATGTTAATTGGAGCTGTTTTTAGAAAGAGTGATATATATATATATAGTAGTTTACCAATGTAAAGAACAAAATTATCTAAACAACTTTTAAAAGCTGAAAATCTTATATATGGTAAGCAAAGTAAATGTGGTTGGTCACTAAGTGTGAATAAACAGTTATTCAACTTACTGTTTATTAAATGTGTGATTCCCTTTCCTCTTATTGATTTCTACTCTGTACTCACTGATAGTGACTTCTTGTAATCATGTAGAACAAAGTATTGTCTAACATTAATCTGGTTCTCTAGTTTGTTTGTAAATCGGATATCTGATAGAAAAGGATTTAGTCTGTGTACAGTGTACAGTTTGAATATCTAATCTAACGGTATTATAAACTCGGTCACCAGTATTATTGTCGTAGTATAGTCATATCATGTATAGAAAGAAAACTATTTTAATGCCCCTGTTATATCACAAGTAATAAATAATGATTTCATCATAGTTTGAAACTGTTTAGTTGATGATAACTAGACATTTTAAGGCTAGAAATCTACAGATAATAAGTTTTTAAAGAGAGAAAATTTTATCATATATACTCAGATGAAAGTAAGTGACGAAGACAAAATGGTGCAAACAACATACTGTTCCATCTTGTTATTCAAATAACGGTGAAGGACTATCTACTTAGTTAGATCCATCACTTTAGATGTTATAACTAATTAACTTAATAAAAAATTACTATTTCATGTCAAGCGTTTAGTTACCTTGTTTGATGTTTCTTAATACAGAACAATACTATTGTACTGGTAACAGTAACCGCATAATTTACAAATTCTTTAATTGTGTTTCAAAGATTAATAAAAGACAGTATACTTCTCTACCACACATATTTACTGTACTTTATCTCATATTTCAATTAGTATTTGAAAATTAATTATAAAGTAAATAATTGTTTATTCATTATTACACAACAGGAAGAAAGATAAGAACAGTTTTCTTTCAGTCAATTTTTATTTAATTGAGACTGAATTCCTGCTGGCATGTCATTTTCTTTCAATGGATCTCATTAAGTTCCAAACTGAAATACCTTGAATAAGCTTTTGAACAAATAAAATTGTTATTGTTTTCTGATCACTCTCTCTCTCTCTGGTTTACAACAGTAAAGATTTACTGCATAATTGGTTGATCACATTTGTGACTTTTTAAATGTGAACAGATTAGTCGAAATTAAACAATATCCAATTGACAACAAAATCTAAATCATCTTCCTCCTAGTTAACCGATAAAAAACACCTAACTCTTATCCATATTTTAATTACAATGAAATTACTGATCGTTTTATTGTGTTTACATACAAAATCAAGATACAAGTTTATCTTTGAGACAAAACTATCAATTAATGTACTTATTATATATATATATATAAACAATCCTGCATAGTATTTATAAACTGGTAATTTGGCTACAATTCTGGTAGGATAGGTCAGGAATTATAAGAATAAGTATCTAACATGGAGGTCAGCAATTGTAATCAAATCTTTTTACTTGTATGATGTGAAATTTATAAAGTTTTATATTAATGTCTTGAACAAGATTTCCCCAAACTGGTCTAATTACACTTTAGTAAATACACATATTAAGGAAAATTATGAGTCTTAACATATAATCTAATGATTTTGTTGCGTAATATTTCATTTTAACAAATTAATATGATCTACAAAGTATATACATATATAAGTCGATAGATCTGAATATGAGTTTTATTCGATACCCGACTAGTTTAAATGTAAAGCGATTGGTCCCTTTAATAAACTTTGATAGACTAATAAGAATGTATTCAATAATAATAATAATGTTACCTTTATTCATAATATAATTTCTTATCATTAATGATGTTAAACTCAAATTATTTGTACCAGAATCAAAGGCTTTAAATGTTAAATGTAAATGTATAAGAAATTCCATGGGTTTTTTCTACGTGAAGTTCAATTATTCGTCGTAAAATGTAAAAATTTATTCCGATCATGTTCGATCTTTATAAATTCTCTGGTTATTTCAAATCAAAACATTGATTAGTATTTATAAACCGTATTCGGAAAAAAATCATCTTAATCGTTAAATTCACGAATTGATCTAAGTTAGAACATCACTGAAAATCTAGAAGCACTGGATAGCTATTTAATCCTAGTGTGAGACTCCTCAGCAGTGCGTATCCACGATTTTACACCACTGAAGAATCTTACACTAAAACAAGACGGTGATACAGTGCTTTCAGGTTTTCAGTGGTGGTCTAGCTTAGAACGAACCATAAATTTAACTGTTAAAATTAGTACAACCTCCATAAACTCCCCCATTCCAATAAAAAAACCTCCCCAACTATTGTACATATAACAAAAGCATATATATATGATTGTTTAATTATGTAACAATTTAGAATTATTCCACTTAAACCTTATTATCTGAATAAATTTGCATTCATAAAAATACAATTTTAAGTGGTGAATTGTTACAAATATACAACTAAACTCATTTCTGTCAGTTTAACAGAATATGAACATATTTTTCTTTTTAATGAACACACAAATGATGTAAGCCTTTGATTGAGAAGATATTTTAACAGGATAAACATTGGGATTCGTCAAATATATTTAATCTCATTATCTTTGCTGAAAATTAAAATCAATATCTATCAGGTTATATTATAAACTATCATTTACAATACATTTTGTATTCATTATTCGAATCTTACCATTGATGTTTAAGATTGTAATTGATCAGTCTCTCATTGACATATGTGCATACTGTGCAAATTACCTCCATATTGATTTAAGTCATTTAGGAGCAAAGATGGATAGTGGCTATCGGTGGAATTCAGGACACTCGTTTTGTCCTATTTAGGACTTGTCAGATGGGTGTACTTGCATCACTCCTGGACTCGAACCAAGTACCATTAGCTTCAGACGCCATAATGTTATCTACTTAACTACTGAGTCCTGATAGCCACTAGCTTGTGTGTATTCTGCATTTCACTACTAGCTACCATCCATCTTATCATTTACAAGGTTACAATGAACATTATTTAATCAATTAATAATGTTTATTACAGATTTTACTTCATGGTATAGAATTAATCAACCAGTATACACTGGAATATTTGATTTTTGTTGTAAAAAGGATGAAAGTGTTTTTGTTTGATAACAAACAAAGATTATTATTATTATTAGTGTCATTATTACTATTACTATATCGTTACAACGAAATTGTTCAATACTTACCGAATTGTTTCATTAGGGAAACACGCCAATGGATTGTTTGGATAATAAATAAATCGAAAACCAAACGTGGAATTTTTAACTTCTGTAAATATAAAACAGAAGATGTAACAAACAAAAAAACAAAAAATGGAGTCAACTAATTATGAATCAAAATTAATTATGTATAAATAAATTGACACGAGCCGAGATCGTGCATGCCCACTGCTGAGGAATTCCACGATAGGACGAAACAGCCGTCCAGTGCTTCCGAATTTTCTATAATGGTCTAGCTTCAATTGACTCATGATCTCAACTATTGAAATTACTATAATATCCACACAAAAAACCCTTTCTGACATAAAACTAAATTGGAATAAGAATGTTTTAACTGGTTTCTAAATAAGTAACAAAATAATACACTTAAATTTAGACAATTATTTTAAATGATAAATCATATGAATTGCTCAATATGTATTGTCATTAATAATTTGTAAATGGCACATATTTAACATACATATAATAAAGACATTAATCATCTTACGAGTAAAGTTGAATGTATGGTGAATTAGTAGGTTTAATATTATATCGATTTATCATCAGCGATAATAATCACTAGGTTATTCTTAAATGTAGTGAATAATGAATAGATGTGTTGATTTTGCCTTTCTTCAATGTTTCTTTAAGCGAAGTTGAAATTCATGTTTAATAAAGTAAATTTAAACTTAAAAACTTTAATACCAGAAGGGTTTTTGTGGATATTATAGTAATTTCAATGGTTAAGATCATAAGTCAGTTGAAGCTAGACCACTATGGAAAACCTGGAAGCATTGAACGGCCGTTTCATCCAATTGTGGGACTGCTCAACAACCAGGTCTGTTGTGAGATAGTAACTCACTGAAGACAATGGTGGATGTATCGCTAAATTTCGTCGATTAGTTGAAGTTAGAAATTAACACCGTTGGGTCCCTGTTCATCAGTGGTCTAGTGGTTAAGTGCTCGCGCTTGAAACCAGTAGGTCCTGGGTTCGGATCTTGCAGGGGGCGAGGTCGTGGATGCGCACTGCTGAGAAGTCCCATACTAAAATGAAACGGCCATTCAATGCTTCCAAGTTTCCCACGGTGGTCTAGCTACAACTGACTCACGATCTTAACCATTAAAAACTTTATTCAATGAAGTAAACAATGTAAAGCCTAGTTTTTTTATATTAAAGATCAAAATGTTTAGTAAATGATGATATTATATTAAATGAATTCATAAGATAAAATTGTAATGTTATATTTAATCTAGAGACGTTATTTCCTGATAGCACTTTTTAAAACGAATTTCTTATAAATAGAAGAGGGTTTTGTGTAGATTTCAGTAATTTAATAGTTAAATTCATAAGTCAGTTGAAGCTAGATCATCATGGAAAACTTGGAAGCACTAGACAGCTGTTTTATTCTAGCATGGGACTCCTCAGCAGGTTTTCCATGGTGATTTAGCTTCAGTTGACTCATGAATTCAACTATTGAATTTCTTATAACTTAATAGGTGGTGTTTCATTCATTTATTTTATGTACTCTATCTGAAGCTGTAGGTTTGATGATTAACGAACAGGTTAACATTACAAGTAGTCAATAAATTAATTTAAAGAAAAAAACAAGCACTATCTAATAAATTATTTAGAGCCGTCTTTATTTGAAGAAAACAGTAATCTTTTTAAAATATATGAAATTGATGACTTCAAACATCACTACACCTTGTTAATGAATATTCCATAAGTGCCAAGATACGAAAAGTAAGCTATATCTAATTCACTTGTATTTGGGCCACATACATCTACTAAATGATCATATCTTTGAAAGTTACATAAAAATTCATTTGGTATTGTTGGTTTTAATCTTCCCATTGATGTTTAAGACTGTAATTAATCAGTCTGTTATTGGTATAAGGGCATCCTGTGAGGATTGTCTCAATATTGCCTTAAGTTTGCGTCCCAGAGTGAAAATCAACTCTGGGATGCAGGTACATCCAGCTGAAGAGACTGAAACAGTATGAAACGCGTGTCCTGAATTCTACTCCTAGCCACCATCTACCTTTGTAAATAAGGACGTGTGAAAGTTTGAGGATAATCAAACTAATACATAGTACCAATTAATTAAGTTAGTAGTCATCGGTCTAAACATTGTAAGAGCGTACAGTCATGATGATTAGAGTCTGTAAGTCAGATGAAATTAACTGTTCAGAAAACTGATTAGTATAATTCGAAATCTATTACATTTGTTGAATATTCGTTTTAACTTGAAAAATTTTAGTGTCTCACTTTTGACAATATGACTATTGCTTTTCATTTTGTCTTAGTTATCAAATCCAAGAAACTCCAAATGGTAGATATTTCTATAGCAAATTATGTTTCGTTTCTGTCTAACTATTTCCGTAGGTGATATATATATAATGAATAAATTATACACAGAACGTCACATATTGATCAAAAAGTATATGTACTCACCTTTAAGCTGTTTACTAATTTTGTCATTTAAATTGATCCATTGCTAAACGAGAAATAAGAAAACGAGTGTTATCAGACAGTGGCTGGTTACAATTATCTAAATTAAACTTAATATAACTTAATGATTACGGTAGGTTAAGAATAAGGTATATGGACTAATGTTAAACGAACTGATGGTACAAATAATAATGATAGCAAATGCAAAAGAAATGAAATATTATAAGGTCAAATCAACTAAAAAATGCATGATGTTTACAGGTATCCAGGAGAAAAGTGACCGATAGTACGTTTCATGTACCATCACCGAGATAACACAACACAGGAGGTTGTTATTCCCAAGCGTTTAAATATGTTAGCAATATTATATCTCACTGATGAAAGCGAACTAATTGAGATGTAATTAAGTCAGTACCTTATTACGGTAACGAGATATCACCTTTAAAGTTGAAAGGTATGTAACTATAAATAAATCTTTTAAGGCTCACTATTTAAGTAGTATATGGCTAAATTATTCCAACATATCAATAGATCCAGTAGCTAGATTTTTACCCAATATAAGATTTGAAATTCAATTGGTCAAGAAAGTATAATTGCATTAAACAAAATCGATTATATCGTGTTAAATCTACTGATGTCTTATCTCGTTTTGTTTTGTAATTATTTCACTATATTTCATTTATATATCCGACAATCCATTCACTCTAATCCTTTATATTCAATTTAATATTATCTTGTTATTATAGATTGCCTCTTTCTAGTATGTTAATTTGAACAATAGAAGTTTTTTGCATCCTTTTAAGTTGTTCTTTCTGTTTCCCTCTATAAATAGGATTAGGAAAACTGTTACCATTTAAAGGATAATATATGTGTGAATGTTAAGTAACTGGACTTATATTCTTTTAAATATGCTACATGTGAACCACCATTCAAACAGTTATGATTATTTTCTTCGAACAGATGAACTAAAATTAATTTAAGATCACTTCTAATTTCTATCTTTTAAATGTTCAGTGATATTTCTGTATTTATTTTGTGATAAGAATAGATTGTATATATCACATGAAGAATTTAGAACTGACAATGGATATTACAAAACATAATATCCATTCTTATGAGCTGTTGCAACGGGAATATATTGATAATCAATTATTATTTTCCCCAACAATTTGGTAGTTCTATTATGATTGTCATATTGTTAGGATAGTCGGAAAAATATACCAATAATTATCGTGTTAAGTCTATGGTGGCCTTGGAGCTTAAATGGACATTCACTATTGGTCGATATCTGTTCACTTGTTAAATATTGTACAAAATGTTGTTTTCTATTTTATGGTACGTTGTGGTATGCTTGATTGGTATATAAACAAAGTATGTTTGAAATATCATGATTCATAATTCAGAGACTGTGACTTGCGTTCTTGACTCAACTGGCTAGGACAGACAGCGAAGCAGGGCCAATCAGGGCACTAGGTCGTCCACTACGTGTTTACGTGTCCACTGTCACAGAAGCGATCGATATAAACGCTGCGTATCAAACCCTGCAGTCACACCCGTTACAACACATATATCGAAACATTAATTTATAATGTCTGAGATTAGAATAGCTATATATTTTATTAAATAAACTGTTTGATTGACTAGGAGTAATTTGTTAGTAATATTAAAGATTTATCTGGATCTTTGCAACCGTTGTTTTGGTTATGTCGATCACTTTATTACGATTCTATATATATATATATGTTTAAATTGATATAATGAATGGATCAATGTTAGACTAACATTGACAACCTGGACGCACTAGACGGCCGTTTCATTTTAGTTAGTAAATACAAAAATCAAAGCCATATAGTTTAACTTTTAACATTAGATTCCCAAAGCATTTTAAACATAAAATGCATAATACATTTTGAGAACAATATACATTTGAAGTCATATGATATTCAAAGACACGGCTTTTGAGAAGAAAAGAAAACAATAATTGAGTGTACAATAGATGTATCAATACGAAATAGACAGTAGAAAGTATACATACAAAACATCAGACCTCAGAAGAAAACTTTTGTTTTAACTCTATGTTCAATCACATGATTTTTTACTAAAAACCAAACAGTACACAAATCGTTCACTATTTAACACATACATCACTTAATTTTATGAAGTAATTACAATATTATTTCGGTTGGCGGAAAATCGGTTGATTTTCTAAAAGTATGTTTCACATTAAATTCACTTAGTATTGTTTACTTAAATCTTCCCATTGATGTTTAGGACCGTAATTGATCAATCGCTTATTGGCATATGTGCAACCTGTGTGTATTGCCTCAATATTGTCTTAATTCACAAGCATTATAAGTAAAGATGGATAATGGCCAGCAGTGGAATCCAGGACACGTGTCTCATCCTATTCGGGAATCGAACCCAGTATCGAGGCAATCCGCACAGTAAGCACATATGCCAATAACAGAGTGACCAATCGCAGTCCTAAACATCAATGGAAAAATCCAAGTAAAACAATACCAAGTAAGTTTAAACTTGACCTCATTGCGCAAGCAAATGACTATCAGAACTCAGTAGCTAAGTGGATAACGTGATGGCGTTTGAAGCAAACGGTACTGGGTTTGAGTCTCAGAGTGAACATCAACTCTGAGATGTAGGTACATCCAGATGAATAGTCCTAAAGAGGATGAGACGCGCGTTCTGGATTCCACTGCTAGCCATTATCCATCATTGCTTATGTTTCATATTGTTAAGGATTTAACACTGTTCTTCTAATAAACACAAGTCATTAATGTTTCAATCTTCACTTCTATATAATTTGGGTTTTAATGTCGTTTTGATTTGTTTCTACGAAGTCATTCCGTAAAAACTAATAAAATCTTTTTTTTAAAACATATTTAACACTTACGAAGTCTTATACCAGTGATTACAAATAACAGTATTTGTAAACTTTACTGGACTGGTAAGATATTACACAACTTTCTTTAAACATTTTCAACAAGTCAACTATTTTCAGAATTATTTTTAATAAACTCTACCAGTATACCAAGTAATTTGTAATTTGGAAATTGCCAATCCATTGACATGTTTATCTATTTTATCTAGATACTTATAATAAGATACTATGAAATTAATGACCATGATAAATTATAATGAAGGGTAATTACATATATTCACCCTTCAATTGCTAAATGATGATTCTAGTATGATCATTTATTATCCTCAACACAGTAACCGCTGTGCCAACAATTTATGATAAATTCTTTTTTAAAAAAACGACAAACATTGAAGGATTATTGTTAATCATACATTTATACTTAATCATTAAGTTTTTTTCCAATGACTTACAAATGTTAACACATCAAAACCACTTACATTCATACCATTATTGTCAGAATAACGAAGTCCAAAATAGGATATATATGGAAGAACATCAAGACGTTCACAAACAACTTCAAGTAAACATCTTCCAAATGCTTTATTCTAAAAGTGAAATAAAAAAAACATTTAAAAAAAGATTTACTTTTTCGATATATATCTATGATCATGTTATAAAAAGATTTTACTAGCATATAATTGAGTGATCCGTACAAACAGGATTACTAAGCTCTATAAGAATTATAGTTAAGTTATTCAAGTTACTTTCAAACTACTTAATATTTCAAATATAATTTTGTAATACTACTTGTTTGTTATTTCACAGAAATAGTCTTTAAATCATCATTGTAGAACTAATAATTTAGAAGATCTCTTGAGTTAGCATATGACTCAAGTTGGTCAGTAGCTCAGACTGAACAACCTTTAACAGTATATATAAAGCAACTATGTTTTCCAGAAACTCCGCCTGGAGTCCCACTGGGGGTTACTGCCGGTCCCAAGCCCGAATAAAGGAGGAGGGTTGGTCATGGGGTTAGCGACCCCATACCATAGAAAACTAACCCGCTAAAAAACGTTAACTATCATGTTTTCCAGACAGTAGTTATCGTAAATCATAAAAATAATATTTCATATGATAGTCTATTGAAATAATTCGTATACGGTTCTATCTAGATAAGATGGGATATCTATTTTTCTATATATAATTACGAAGGAGAAAGACACTCTAATATCTAATCAAAAACATTGAATCAAAGGTTTAAATAATGCATAGAACAACTAATCAATAACTGGTGTTCATTATGTACTTCATATTTAAACAATTTGGTTTATTATTATTACAGTTTTTAAAATCAAATCTAAACTAAGTCAAGTCTTGTTTTGTGTGGGTTGATTTTTATTTATTTATTTATGAATTGACTACTTACTTACATTAGCACATGACTATGAAAATGACTTACATAATGAGACATTAAATGAAAAAAAAAACCACCTACACAATTTCATTTACATATTTTATGAATGAGTGTCTTTAAATCTACAAATTACATTGTACATATCGAAGTTCATTTAAAGTTTACAATTTGTTCTTTGTTTAAAGGTAACAACAGTACTATCTTAGTCACTAATAGTTAATGATTATGATTAATATATTTACAAAACGACTTAGACTATAACAACCCTTGAATAGATCTAAAGGAACAAATAGATATTACGCTGTTTGTTTGTTTGTTATTTCAAAGTCAATAACTTGGTTAACAAGAAATAAATGTTGTTTTCTCTCTTTTTTTTCTCTTTTATGTGACCACAATCCTAAAAAAACTTATACCAGACAATACTATCATAAATCATTGTCATTCTGTATTATCCAAATGAAGAATAATCTTATATTTAAAAACGAAAAAAAAATTACTAAACCAAATCATATCAAGTTAAATAATTAGTATGTAACATTGGAATTAAATATTTAATCTTCACACAATCTAGTTTGTTCTATCAGACTATTTCTATGTTAAGCCAAGAATGAAACTTAAATGACCAAATTCAGATCGATAATACTACTTTTTTTTAAAAAATTCAGTATAATAAATACTTCATCTTGATTAGAAACTTACACGATTCTAATATGCTAAAACTTTATCAATAATTTATCTTATAGATTTATGAATAACAGTATTATGAATTTAGATGGTGGTTGGAGGTAGTCGACAGGAAACCCTGGACCCGGGTTTCGCGCTACTTGGCACTCGTCAGCAAGGTGTACCTGTAGTCTTGAGGGAACACCAGCCTAGGCTGGTGGCCACATTGCAACATGGTCGATAGCATTCGATCTGCACTAATAAGGACTAGACACGCATGACATTGATAGCCACCCAATGATCAATCAATTGTATAATGAATTCGCATACACATTTATGAAATAATATCATAGCTAAAATAGTTTCCATATGCTTTACAAAAGAGGTATTTTACCAATTATCTTTCTGAGAAATGATTTGATTTCTGGTCTTAGGTTTTGCATAGTTCAGCTTTTTAAGATATATGTTACAATCTTCTGAAAAAAGGATTTACTACTCAACAAAATGTAAAATAAAAGAATAGCGAAAAAGTGGTTGGTTAGCTTACAATAATGAAATATTATTAGCGCACTGATGTGATTATCGATGTGGTTACCTATTTTTCCAACTAACTGTTTGATGATCACAACGATGATGTATTAAAGAAGTTAGAAGATGATGTAATATGTCTGGGTTGACCTTATGTTGCTTTGAAATTGATAAGCTTCATTATATAGTCCTATCACCACAGAAGATATCAAACAAACCTGCTACACAGCATTAAAGCATAATTTCTAATACCAGTAATATTTTCTTGGTTTTAAAATTTACTAATCGGTGAAACTTAAATACATTATTAGCTAAAAATCTATGTGGTATGGATGTTTCAATTTGTTCGCATATAAGCTCTAATGGTAACCTTATGAAAAATTCAGAAGGGAACTATATTATGCTAATAAAAATGAGCCTTTGTACTATTTTTGAAAACAAGAGCGATTCCAGAAATTACTTCAAATTACTGTACATAATTAATTCATGATATGACACAACAATGTGCTTATTGTTTAGTAAGATGTATAGTAGTATCGACATCCGTTTAAGGATTATTCAAATTTAATAGTGTGGAAAAGTCACACCGCTCTTGTAATTATGAATTTATTCTTTATTTATAACACACCATTTAGTAGTGCTTCTATTAGGTAAGTGCAATGACATTTGGATAACTTGAGTATAGCAGTAAGTTATATATGATGTATTTATTACTGCAGTTTTCCAGAACAATGTAGAATATGAATCAATGATATGTTAGTTTAAGTTATTACAGAGTAAAGGGTCAGTGTTTGTACTCTAATACATAATAACTGAAACGTATTAGTTTAGATTTTTAACTGTAATTTTTTGATAAATCTAGGATTCTAGACGTTAAACCACCTACTCCTTATAGCTTATAACTCATTTTAGTACTGATTGAAAATCATCACAAACATTACAGTTTAGTTGTTATAAACTTATACAAGTTATAGCTTCTTTATTTCTTGTAGATAAACTATTCATCATCTAATTTGTTTATTCGTACTGGATGATAAACTGAATGAAACAGTGATTAAATTCTATTTTCATCAATTTGATTCTATAGGCGTATAATAGGACAAATAATAAAATTTATTCCGTGGTTACCAACTACAAAAACTGTTGTATATAAGTCAACATAACATTAATTCTTAAAATTAATCCTGTATTAAGATAAAGATGTATCTTAATACATTATTTGTTCCATGATAAGAAAGTTTAAATCGCGTGCCAGACGTTCTAGAAAATTCCTCTAAAGTCAATGAAAGATAACAAAACTCTAATCTCTCCACTCCTTTTAAATATATATATATAAAGAACAAATTTATCAAAACTTTGATGCCATTAAAATGCATTAAATTATTCGTATTCATCACATGTTGTTGAGTTAAAATATATAATTAAGAAAACAGAAATAGTGAATTGTTGCTATGTCAAGTATCGACTTTAATTCAGATAGAGATAATACATTTTTTTTCAAAATTGATTTAATGTTCTTTTACAAAATCAATTAGATTATAAAAATGTTGTTTTAATATTGATAAGTATATTTTGTATGGAATATTATTGATTAGTCGTATTGTTTGTTTTTTTCAACTGTGTACTCTTTTGTCAAATTGACTCATACCTCCATGAGTTTGTGTACATACTTCAATATTGAAATATTGAAAGAAGACTTTGTTGATTATATACATTAAACCATTAGTATTAGTAACTTTTAATACTGTTATTATTATATTATACTAATAAATTCTATCAATCAGATTGATGAATAGTTAAGAGAAGTATGTGACCTGATCAATTATTCATGAAAATACCCAACAGAATATTAAATAACAAATATGAGTAGTAAAACTGGATTAGTATGTATTATTTATTAAATCATAATAAAACTTCCACTAATATGTTTACACCCTCTTAAAAGATACCAACTATGTTACCTCGAAAAATGTGCAAACCGTTTGTTTGAAATCAATCTTTTTTATGACGAACTCGGAAATGAGCAAGACATAATACAAAAAATTATTCACGAAAACATACTATATTGATATTTAAATTTTTTAATGCGACAGATAGAAGAGGTTGGGGAAGAATAGTTAGAATAAAAAAACATTGGAAGAGTTCACTTAATGTGGAATAAACGAACATAAATTGACAAATGCTCAGCATCTTGAGAAACGGAATTCGAAGAAGTACATTTCTAAACTATGGGTAAATTAGTCAGGAACTTTGGGCTTCTGTGCTCTTCTCAGTTAATAATTCCATAAACTAGTACCAGATCTTGGAATCCCACTTTATGCCATAGTTCTATACTCGCTAAATCGTCACAGGGTAAAATGTAAGTGAGAAATTCCCTAAGCTTTTTGTAGTACGAGATAAGTTTTATATTCTTTCCGAAGGATGGCGTAATTATTCTAATGTCAGGAACAGAGACAAGCATATTATGACATCAAACAGTAATCGCATAATTGAAGTTTTGATTCCTTGTAAATTGAACCACACTAATGAATAAAAAGACAGCTGGTATCTTCTGGTAGCTATACAGAGAATTCGTTAATCAAAATTTACACAAGGATTATTTCAGCATTTTACTGAATTTAGTAAGAGATAGTTAAAAATCAGCTCTCAGTTTTATCAACAAATGGGTGTGTTAAATTTCCTTGACAATGAATAGATTTCACTAAACTTTTAAAGAGCAAAACTGATATTATAAGGCCTGAAGCAGGCACGTAAATCTGGGATTGCTATTAAAAACTGTTAAACAATGTAAAACCGTTTGTACGTAACAACGCTGTTCTCTTTTTGATGAATATCACCAGACTTAGTGCCCAGATAACTGCCTCCAGGTGAAAGACTTCAGTTATTTCTACAATTTATTACTGATCAGTGATTGTTATTTAAACTATGGATACAGATTTAATGGACTTGTGAATTATCATCTAGACAAGGTTATATGAGAATAAACCTTATCTCTCCACTAAAGCTGGAATCTAGCTTTAAGCATCATGGCTTAACCCATGTCTTGTTTGTTGGGAATTACTTATCACTAAACTTTAAAGATCTTTATGAATGAGTCAAACGAATTCATTGATTAAGTAGTATAGGTTCACCTTCTACCTGTACAAACGCTCAGACATAATTTTTGACCGTTTAGTTTCATCATTTTGATTGATATGTAACAATTATTAATAGGTTTAAAGGGCTATTCAGAAGGTTGAGTATTATTTAGTAAAGTAAAATTGGGTCAAAAACATCACTCGATAATAGCAATAAGCACATAACAAGTGCTAAGAAAAATAAGTTGACAAAAATTGCACAAAGTGCTATTATTAAAGAACAAACTGACATAAGAGGAATAGATAGTTTAATAACTGCGGGAATATCTTGGAAAATGAGAATCCTGTGGTCAGAGCAAAACGATTTCATTACTCTTCCGTTAGCAATACGTATGCGAAACAATCCCAAGACATATTCTAAGCCATGGAGTTTTATCTACTTATTTTGGGAGTGAAAAGCAGATCCAACATAACAATTGTGATTAGTAACTCAGAAAAACAGAACATATGGGTACCAGGAAGTAAAAAACACTAATTTTGCTTTTGAATCTATCACTTGATAAGTTCTTTGGTTCAAACAATTTTATCTCATAGCATTAGTACTATCAAACATCATTGTCACGGTACTAACGCTGCTAAACTATTAAACCGGACAAAACCAGTGAAAGACTGGTAGGTTGTTATTTGGTTTATTGAATCCACATTGATGACATAGTTGACTCAGATTACCAACTTAGTTCAATTAGGTTGATCACTAAAGTGTTTGAAAATATTGTTCATTGCTCGATCTTGCGTCATGTATCGGGAAACTATTCTTCTCTCAAAGAATGACAGAACATTATGACTAACTAAGGTGCAGATAGGGGTTCAAAAAACCTCAAACATAAACAGCAAAAACCACAGTAAAACGTATCATAAGATACTTTATACAAGTATATGAGCCTTTTAGACAGAGCTAGTACTAAATAAAGAACTGAACTTTATTTTTAGAACAGTAGATAAGACTGAAGATGCCACAGGTATTTGTAGTGTGACAACACTTTAACCAGTAATATCTTCTATAATTAATTGAGCCTACCCAGTGAAATCAAAAGTCAGAAGCTAGGAGTTTTGAAGATATATTTGATAGGTTATCAATATATCGGATAGTGACTGTTCCAAACTGGCTAGTGGTTGCAAGAAAAGTTGAGCATGGCGTTCCCACTCGTGATCTGGTGCGGATGCATGACCGAGCGCCTTCAGCTATGTGAGTCCATCAAAACTAATGTGGTCAGCATCCAAACCTAAAGTGCTTATTCTTTTGAGCAAATAAAAGTAAAAAGAGTTATAACCAACTCTAGTTAGTTGCCCATTTTTTAAAAACGTATGGCCCTGAAAAAATCTGTACAATTTCATGTTATCACATTTAACATCGGCACAGCAATATGAAGTCGAAAAATACAAAGGTGAAAAAGTCAATTTTACAGTAACAATGACTGTGGTGGACCAAATCCGCGAAACAGTCTTCGAAAATAATCAACAGATTGTACTGTTCCATTTTTTATATACTTTCAGTTTTATTCCTGATTGAGGGTAACTTTATAGTCTATCGTTTCGTACTCTTGAATACTAATTTGACATCAGATTGCATCTGATGCTTTAGGTAGAACCAAACCAACCATGTGAATATTTTCATTACTTGCAAGTTGAATACTGACTCTTTCAAAGAATTTTCACTTTTTCAGTGCCTGATAATAGTTTGTCCCGTAAAAATGTTCGGACGAAATTCAACCATTGCTAAAACTAGCCATAGTTTTCTAGATTTTCATTTTCCTCAAATAGAGATGATTTATTTATAAGACTTGAAAAACAGTGGAACAATTTCTATCTTATTGTGATCCATTCTACAATAACGTACATTTAAAACATAGACTTTAAAATGAGTCTTTCTCTAACACAAATTGAAGGTGAACTCTTTCTTATTTTACTCAGAAAATATTTTATCGAAACAATGCTTCGAAAGTTAAGTATCTATCAATATTACTGTGAACATTTGTGGCTTCAAAACCGCAATTCGTTACCATGATTCGAATGAGTTTATATTTTGAAAAAATTTAATCCGTAACTACTCGCTAAAATGATAGCATTTATAAATCATAGTCTAATAAATCGCTTACTGATACTGAAACGGACATGCAACGGTCATCCAACAAGTGTACGCTACAGGGCATATCAGCGATGGACGTATTGCTTCCAAATAATCTTCCTTTGTTTGGACTCAATAAACTTAAGATAACTGATTTTCTGCTCACACTATTCTTGTCATTTTCTGATTCATGAGATTGAGGGGACTTCCAAGATAGTGACATTTCAAGTCTGAAACGTAGAATGGTTATGTTCGGCCTTTGATTATCTTGTGACCAGTCTGTCCGTTTGTTTTGTCGGAGAAATGTATAAAACACAGTATATGAGAGATTCTTATAGAAGAAGAGGTGAAAGGCAAGTCGATAAATCAATTAACAATTAAACTGAACTTACATTTGACAATGCAGACTAGCGATAACAAAGAAAAATTACAATCAAATGTGTGACTAATATTCATGCGACCTTGAAAATTATCCATTATAACAATCCCAGTGGTTCATGACACAGATTTAGGTCTTCCATCATGTTTCGGATAGACGTGACAGTCTCACATGGAATACTGTATTTTGTGCATTATATGTGTTTTAGCGGTTCATATGATGCGTTTTAGTCAGTTAGTCACCCACGACGTATATACATTCAGTCCAAGTTGCCATACCCCATTAGCACAAAGCGATGATGTTTTCAATTCATACATCATAGTAATGAAAGGCATAACAGTGCTAGTAGTAGTAAGAGAGATTAGACATCAAATATACGACTCTAAAAGAAGATATGAACTAGCGAAATAAGAGCAGAAACGTTAAAAGAAATTAGGGTCTAAGGATTTAAAAGAAAACAAAGAATGGGTAGACCTCCTCCATTTGAAATGATTTTTGTCCGTGTCGTTCGAAGCCTCTAACCTCCGTAGGTCTAGAATGTTGTGCAAAGAAAAAATTGTTAAGGAATCCATAGAATGTCCTAAATGCTACTATTCCTATATAAACCCAAGGACAAAAAGAAGAGGAAATATTCCTGCACTATGGGGAGACAGTACTGCCGCATCTTTAGTGGAGGACGACTTTGGTGAGGCTCAAGTGTTCTCAAACTACTTTAGCAATGTATATACCATAGAAGAGTCCTTCCCATCAGCGCATACCAATCCCCCCACACATCCACTGGATAGCGTGACCATTAAAGAACTCGATATCTTTGGTCTACAAAATAAGCTTGACATAGAAAATCCACGGGGCCCGATGAATCGCATCCTAGGCTACTGAAAGAATTATCTAACTTCGTTGAGAATCCTTTAAGTATATGCTTCAGCCTATCCATAACGCAGGGTCGTTTACCAAAAGACTGGAAAAACGTCATAGTAAGTCCTATCTTCAAAATAGGTACGAAACATAAGCCTGATAATTACCGCCTCGTTAGCCTAACCAGTGTAGTTGTTTAAATCTTAGAAAAGATCATTGAGAAGGAGCTGTTTAAGTTTCTCAATGAAAACCGGATCCTTTCGGAGAAGCAGCACGGTTTCAGAATAGGTTATTCTTGTCTCACTAACTTATTAGTGGCTCGTCATGGCTGGTGCGCTATTAAGAACCAAAAGTTACCTGTAGACGTAGCCTACATTGATTTCGGATAAGCTTTTGACAAAGTTCTGCACAACCGGATGTTATATAAGCTAAGAAATATCGGAATTGGAGGCAATCTATCGATGTGGATAAAAGACTCCCTAGTTGGGCCCCAACAAAGATTGGGGGTGAACTAAATGTTATCTAGCTGGGGAACTGTGCTTAGTGGAGTGCCCCTGCGTATAGTCTTGGGGCTAGTGCTATTCCTCTTGTATGTAAATGACCTTCGTTGTCTCCTATCATCATCGGTCTTGCCAAATGCTGACGATGTCAAAATATGGAGAACGATACGACGTGAGGGTGATAGCTTAGAACCGCAAAATGACCTGAAGAAATTATCTGAGTGGTCTTGAACCTGACAGTCGCCGATAAATACTTCCAAGTGTGTTGTGATGCATATCGGTCATCTAGGGACACATACATACACGATGAATAACACTGAGCTACCTGTCGTCCAGACATAAAATGACTTAGGAGTCATCGTTAGCCAAGACTTAACGACTACTGCACACTGCCGTGCAATAGCCACCAAAGGTTTAAGAACATTATGGTCAATACGTAGGGCTTTTAGTCATGTGGACGCTAAAACGTTCATGACTTTGTATACAGTGATCGTCTGTCTTAAACTTGAGTACTGCATACGAGCGGCTAGCCCCTGCTTAAAAAAAGACAGTGAGCTTCTGGAAAAGGTTCAGAGAACCTGAACAGTAACTACTATCGATATCAAAGCCCATACGTCCAAAACACATATTTCTCTTCTTGCTTGTATCCAGTGATATGTGAGACACAGACACTGTAAAGCATTCGTAGGCTTGAAGTGGTATCGGTCCCCAACCACGATACCTGAAACTGAACATACGATAACTGAGAAGATTTGTAGAATTACGGTCTACTATGATATACAGTACTGCTCTAATAATAGACTTGACCCTAAATTTTGTAGATTTGTCATGATATAACTGCCTAATCTATAAGATCTTACGTGGAAGTCACACCATCGACTACACCAACTCACTATATCGTACCGATTACCAATACATGATGTAGAACAAGGTTAGGCTAGAGAAGGAACAATATATTTAATATGAATAGAAGATATAAGGTAACATTCGGCAGAGACTACGCCTGCATGGCCGAGCCATGCCACTCGATCAACCCCAGTCGATTCAGCTCATTGTTCGCGCCTTCTCCATTGTTAGGTAATTCTCCGCGTTAAATATTGAACATCTATTTTCTGAGTAGTGTTGTGTTCACAGCTTTTTGGATAGTGTGGCTATTGTCTAATGCCACTACACTACTCTCTCACCAGAATCAACGTGATGTTGGTTCGATACCAAATTGGATGGGATCGTCGCGCACCGGAGGTTACCAAGGATAATAAGAATCCTCCGGGTATTGGTAAGCTGAAAGATAAATCAAAAAGAAAGAGGCAGCATCTGGTCGGGAAATACATGTAATAATTTTAAAATATCTGCCTTCATGCTTAAAATGCTTGAAATGAAAATTTGGGTGAAGATTATTTGAGCTATAAAAAATGGGGTTACAATAATAATAATAATAAAACGATGCGTGGTAATAGCCGTTGGTTAATAACTTAACGTATAGGTAGTAAGTATCTTGTGTTTGGAAATATTAAAGTGATGAATGTTGTAGAAATGTTAATATTGGTATTAGTTTTGGTTTAAATTATGAAATCAAATAACGATTATGCCGGTAAGTTGTCCATATGAGTTGAATTTCAATTGTATCTGTATTAGTAGGCTAACTGAAGGAACAAAAGTATACCATGGAGAAGAATTCCAACTAGTGTTCCAGTTAGTTTGATACGGTCTATTTAGTTACGGGGAGATTTTCTCAACCTCATTTTTACTTGACCGTGATAGAATTTAGTAATACTACTAATACACATAAATGGTTATTAAAACAAAATTTAAATACGTGAGTGATAATTATATGAATTTTGGACAGATAGCTAGGAAAAAATCGTTAGACATGAGTGTGTTCGTAAGAGACATGCTCTAGACTCAATGTTCTGATCTGCGATAGACTATTTATTTATATTTATATTTGCCGGCTGATGGTGCATACAAGTTAGTTGCACGTATGCAGGCAGAATACGATTTAATTGAGATATGGTGATTATAAGTTACTGAAATCAGTTAAGCCTGTGTCATATTACTAGGTGATGTGGTGCTGTAAGATGTACTCGGCTAAATAAGTTTTTACAAGATGATTAACTGTGAGTGATGCTCATGTGATTATCAGGGAGTACATAAGTTGTAACCAAGGGGAGTACACTCCCAACTCATGTCTATGATAATGGCTTGAACCCTAGTCAATGTTGGGGTAAATTCGACATTGATGTTTTCAGTTTACAGGAGGTTTGCTCGACTGCTTATACTGATTATTTGCATGCATGATTGTGTAGCTAAACCATCAATTAGACTGACAAGGTTTTAAGATATTTACTGAATGAGCAACTGATAGAGAAACTTACTGTAATCATTCGTAGTGAATGAAGATAAAAGAAAAACAACACTAGTGATAATGATAAGTCAATTTGTTGACCGATTTGGTTAACAGTTTCATTAATTTTATCAATCATATTACGTGATTGTCAAGTCATGACAATGCTTTCTCATGATATCCTGAAACTATTATGTTTAACTAGTTATAGTGTTGAATGAGGATTAGTCAGTGGAAAAATAGGTATTGTTGCTTTAGGTGATTCGAAATCATCAGAAACTTATAACGTTAAAGAATCCGAGACGCCTAATTTAATTATAAATTTCAATTCAGAAATATTCGTTTAGTGTTAATTTTAGTAGGCTACGGAGTTTTGATTTTAAACGTTTGTTTAGCCAACAGCTATCTGGGGATTTGGTTATTTTACTAGTGCAGTTGACAGTACCTAAATTTTTAATCTTATTATCTAAACTATGTTCGCATTTTAGGCTGCTAATATGACAAACCAATCCATAAACCCAAATACGATTAGCAACAACGACTATGATGGGTTTATTGATAAATGTTAAAGGCGATTCAGATGATTTCTAAATTTAGAAGACATGGAGATATAGTGTAACGTATGTATGGGCCAGGTTAACATGCAAGTTGTTGACGTATATGACGATTTAAAAATAATGAACATGACCAGAAAATAGTTTTAAAGTTTAGACTGCTTGTGAAACTTCAGGCAGGAATATGATGCGTTATAAACATTCCATAAGGAGTTACTGCATTTAGCCTAGGGACACTTACAAATATATAGCAAGAGGAACCGGAAAACATATACATGTTAAGTAAAAAAATCATTAAGTAAAATAGTTGAACTCGCCTGGATTATTTTTGAAAATTAGATTATTCAGTGGACGACATATATAACGCCATTCGTGAGGAGTAGTAATGATCCAAAAGTATCCAGAATAAAACATGCAGTATGGCAATTAATCCCAGGGTGCTTGATGCTGTTGACGTTTTTGCCACTCGCTCGGATTAGAACAACCGAATGAATTCAGATAATTGTGCGGTCACCATTGAACGAGCCATCTAAAATGACCTTATGATTGCAGAAAACTTATGGCTGAAACTCACCGTGTTTTTAGAGAAGTGTCATCCTTGTTGTTTGGCAATGGAACTCGAAAATTTGAAATTAGGCAGGCAGTGGTC